TCGAACTACCTGAACGCTATCTATGGTGGCGACCGGACGGCCAAATTTTCCCATTGAAATATGAAACAAGATGAACTTTACTTTGTCATTGACTCACCCTGTTCAGGCAATACGCAGTATAAAAATGGTGCTAACTTGCCTAATGTGTAGTACCTCAAAATTTTCAAAAGTTTAAGGATATCGAATTTCCGGTTTGTTCGGAGTAGCAATTTTTGGTAGTTTCCCGTTGGATAAAATTTTGTAAATGTAATCATAAATACTTAAATTCAACTGATTCATGTTTTGTATACATATATTGTTTACTTCCACAACTATGTCAACCATTAGTTAAAAAGCTCACCTTTGTAGTAGTTACTGTTAATTTTTAGAGACCCGAAAAAGTTTTATAAATTCCTGGTCGGAAACAGCAAAAGGATCTTGTCATTATTTGTTGCAGCACCTTCAATATTTTCTTCTTCTTATTTATTGCGTCCAACAAAATATCGCGGAAATCTTTAAATTCCCGTCACTTTAACGTCACATTTTCAAGAATTACCTTACTGTTTCAAGGTGAACCATGCCCAATTCCCGGACAAGTTTCTTTTTTTTTTAAGTTTTTATTATTATTTTAATTATGTTCCGATTTTTGAGAATCTTTATACACCAAGTTTGAAACTTTCGCCGTCGCTATTCATTCATGAAATTATATTTAGGTTTCGGCGCATCCACCACGCCGTCAAGAACACTGTTGAAAATCTCGTCCTTCTTTCGGCCCCATCGCCTAGCTATTTTTTTGTCAATTACCCCTAAATTTTCGAGTAACGCGCTGGACAAATTCGACGGGGCAAAACCCGGCTCGCAAAAAATCCAATTATCCCCGAAATTCGGGTCCGCAAAATCGACTGTGGGGGCGGAGGCGTCCCCCCACCCCCGCCGTCCCGTCGCTGTCAAATTTTTTAATTTCGCAATATTTTAAACGCGACGTATTTATCGCCGCCGCCGGCGCGTCCGGATACTAATAAACACATATTTTGTCCGAGTTAGCGAATTACAAAAATATTTTTGATTTACGGACCCCCCCGCGGGGCCCGTCAAGATTTATGCGCGGCTTTATTTACGAGGGGGGCAAAAAGTCCGTTTATGGGATTGCATAAATCACGTGATTTCCGAGTTTTCGAAACAAGGTGCGTCGGGGGGGCGGGGACGGCGTATTTTGTCGGGCGCTGGGGGGGGGACGTCGGCCCCCGTGCATCATCGACGAAAATGTAATTGTGAAATATTAAGGTTGTCTGTGACCCTGCATTTGGCGATAAATAAAATTTTGATAAAAAGTGGTCGTTCGACCGCGTTATGAGAGATGACGCTCGTAAAACGTACTTTCGATCACCCGCATACAGAGTTTTTCAAAAATCTTGTTGCTAGTTTCTATGCTATGGAGTATGTCAAAAAAATCGTGAGTTTATTTAATGAATTGAGAAAATATGAATGTGAAAACAATATTTTTATTACTATTTGCAAATCTTTCAGTTCAGCTCTGAAGAAGTGAAAATGATGTTTGGCGAAAAGTCAGCAATTTCGAAAACATTAAGACATAGTATATCAGTGGAACTTTCTTTGAAAAATATATCTTTTTTATTTTTTCTGAAACAGTTTTCTTCCTTTTGCGGTGCCTGTCTGTCTTCAGGCGTTGGTGGTCATCATGGTGTTGATATTTTGAAATCTATCATGGTCTCCAATCCACTTTGTTCTGGACAATAAGACGGAGTACATTGTATTTAGGTCCCCTGGTAATATCTCCTTCCTTGCTCTTATGGTGTTAATAAGTGTCCTATTGGTGTCCATGATGGCAAGAACGTCCTCGATGGGTACCCCAGGATATCTTAAGCATTTTGCCGATAACACGATAATTCGAATGCTTCTGACTTTTTGTGTGATGGAAGCTTAAAAGGTCCAGCTTTCACCACCACCAAGCAACACCGACCAAATATAGCATTTGATGACCCTTTTTTGAAGGTGCATGGAGAAGCTTATGTTGCTTAAAATGTGAATGCTGCGAAACAAGACTGTAAGGATTTCTTGATCAGAGTTTTCGCTTGATTCAGCAGCCTAGGTATCTATCATTCATCATTCATCTACTCATTGTGCAATCACATCTATTTTTCCTGGTATCATCCATGTTAAATTTATTTTTGTGTTTGATTGTTTTACTTCCCTCTTGTATGCTTTGGGAAGTTCCTGTCTTCGGTCAGTTTGACATATCTGTTTTAATATTTTCTTCTTAGATTTTTACACACTCATTTCTGTCAGATACTGCTTCTTTGAAAACTTCCTTAGAATAAACTTTGAAAAATAAATTAAATAAAATGTATACCGTTATTACCTTGGATTGGTAACCAACTAACTAACTAACCAAACATTAGTGACAAAATTTTAATATTTTGTACAGGAGTATTGACAAAAAATCATTGTTTTTGAGATTTCTGAGGTTTTAGTAATTAAATGCTGGACGATTTTTGATAAATGCCGTTTTAGTCACTAGTTTGACGATTATCAGCCTTTTGAATGAACTTTTCCTACTACGTTTTCGGGTACATTTTTGCACAGCACTAAAATATAAATAAATATAAAATAAATATAAAAAAACTTATTAGAGGGAGGGTTTTCGGACACATGCCCATTAAACAGACTAACGATATTTTTTAATAGATTATTTTATTATTAAAATGTATTTAGCTGCACGTTTTTTGAAACCGTGAGCAAAAGTTCATGTTTTTTATGAGTCTTAGAGATTTTTAGTCAGAATTGCCAGAAAATGTGAGTAAACACCGTCTTTTGATAGGTAGACTCGGACTTACACAGTATCAATTAAAATCTGTATTAAAAATTTATATAATTTACCTTAAAAGTTATTATGTCAAATGTAATAAACTACTGTAAGAAATTTGTCTCAATTTTTAAGACATTTAGAACTCAAAAAATGTGAATGATGCGACTGAATTTTGTTAAATTTAGCTGATATCGAATGTTCACGTGTTTAATATACACATGCTTGCTTTCAAAACGTAGGAACAAGGGTTAATTATTTATCAATATATCTAAAAATATGGTTATTAATGCTTCTATTTATGTGGTGCCCAGTTTGAGCTCAATGAAACCCTGTCAGTTTAACTTAATGGCTTACGATATCTACAGTGGCTTGATCTGATATCTAAATATGGCTCTTATTCCGTATTAATTAGGCGACTGGTTACGCAACGCCCTCTATATGAAACATTTCTAAATAATGTATGCCTCTGCTTTTTACAAAACTTCTGGATTCCTCCTGCGTCGCTTTTTGCTGAGTCGAAATTGCTGACGTTTCGCCAATCATCCTGTTGGCTTCTTCAGAGCTTGACTGAAACTGTTTCAAGTTTTCAAGTTTTGTAAAAAGCATTACAGTAGCCTGTAGAACTTTCTTTGGAAAAAAAAATATATGCCTCATTTTCTTTTATATTGTTGTACGCCACGCGTACTATTCGATGGCGCTTCCTTAATTCGTCACACGCCATTGTTGACGATGTCGACCGATTTATCTAGGATACAATGATAAATGACCGAGCCGACAGTGTCGATAGATTTATTCTCGGCATTTTAAATAAAAGCATTAACCGAAACTGACCGCCGATGAAAAATAGTGTTCCGGTTTTCGTCGACGCCATATCCGCGAAAACAGAGACGTTTCCCGGGCGTGTATATTTGAAAATTGTCACATTAAATTCAATTTACCACGTTAAAAGTAGTTTGACGTCGTAATTCATGTCACACTCGGGCACGGCCGGGTAATTTCATAAATATTTCATGTTGTCGAGTAGACTGGAAGACTGGAAGACTTCAGACTCCGGATTAAGATTGATTATGCGATGTATTTCACAGGAGAGCTCGCGGCTTTCTTTTTTTTGGAATTAATGCAGACGCGCAAACGAAAATACAGTTTATTTGAATAATGCAGCGAATGAGATACGTCTTATTTCTGAATATGTCCGTCTAAGAGAGGTGTTCGTATATGGGGAAAATTAAATAATAGATTTTTATTGTGTTCTGATACTCACATATTAGTAAATTCGTTTCCGACGGATCCGAGCCACTTCCGACATTTCCGCGACTTTAACGCATGGGTTTGTTTGTTGGGACGTTAAATAAACAACATAACGTTTTACAATTGTGTTTATTCTATTGTTTATATGATATCTCCAATATTACATCTCTATCCGTCTAACTTACACAGTTAAAAAAATGAAACAATAGCAAAGCCGATCGAAACGATAAACGAATAAGTTTAATGGCAACTAGCAAGTATTTTGTTTGTTATTATTTTTTACATGTAAAGTCAGGATATATAAAACGCGGGTGAGACCCGCGCGTGGAGACAAGGGGCGACAACTCAACAACACAAACAATGCTCCGAATCGCGGAAATGAGAATACTGAGGAATGTAAGAGGAGTCACTCTAGGAGATGAGAGGTGCAGCGAATCCATTAGACGATATGGAAGATATCGTTACGTGGATTTGGTTAAGGAGACGCTTTTGGAGAGACCAAGCCACTAAGATTGGCAATATGACCACCAGACCCCTACAATGATGGCGAGATATCTAGACATCTTTCTCACAAGAGGCACTATTGGCTAGATTGAACAGGGCATAGCCCTAATGACAGAAGAAGAAGAAGAAGATTTGAAATGGAAGTTTCCTTCCTGTTTGGTATTTTTGATCTTTTTCTTTCTAGTATAAATTAAATATACGTTTTAAAAAAATTAAATTGTAGATTTTCTTTTGTCTGGCCGTATTTATTATAATATAAGTTTGCAAATACAACACCCAAAGGGAAAAAATGATATGTGTTATTATTCTCAACAAAATAGACGCTACTAGGGCGTCTCTCGCTATCGTCCCGAATAACCAGCTCCGTAACATGTAATTTGTTTTTAAGTCGCGCTTTGATGTAAACTCTCGGAGACTAATTTCGTTTTTTTTTCTGCCTCAGTTTCAGAATCTGCTCTCGACGGCCGGATCTTTCTGCATGAACGTCGCCCGATATCCCAGACTCGAAGCAGATCCCGCTCCCCGCTACGCCTAATTTATTCTTACGCAGACTGACGTCTCGCGTCGTGAAACTTTTCTCCGATCTCAACCTCTTTCTCCTTCTCTCTCTCTCTATCTATCTGCTCCTCTCTCCCATCTTTCTCTAGCAAATTATGGACACACGGTCCCGTTCCGTGGTGACCGTCCTGGTTTCCCCGCTACTGATAGTGACGTTGGTGACGGTTTTGTCTCTCCGGGTGATCTGCGCCACGCGATCCGACCAGGACCGGATTTATTCCAACGAGTTCGCCGTTCACATACCCGAAGGGGAGGGCGCTGCGAACGCTGTCGCCGACAAGCACGGCTTCGTTAACAGAGGACAGGTGAGTCGTTTTTTTTATGATTTGGATGGGGCGGTTCGCGCCCCTCCCCCCACATTACCAAATTTTCAAATTTGAAATGCGGGAGCTAAGGTTAATGCTATTGCAGCCGCAGGGATATTTTTTCGGATACTGATAACTTTTTAATAAATGTTGACCATATTTTTAAAAAGTATAAAAAAAAATTAAACCAAATATTATTCCTGAAACTTTATACTAAAAAAAATATACTCCATTATCCAAATATAAAAAAATGTCTCCATAAAAAGTATAGGTATTTTTTAAAGTACCTATTAGAAAATGTTATTTACCGAAAAGCGGAAGAGTTAGTAAACGGCGATTTGGCGGCTTGGCAACCCTTTTATTGACTCTCTTCTATTCTTTTGAACAAAACCAAATTTTCTCAAAATTTTGTGACGTCACCCAAGGTCGGTAAATATTTTACCATATCGGCGTCTGTGGAAAATAGCCTTTTATTAACAAATTGGTTTGTCAAGGTGTTTTTTTTTCTCTCGTCTGAAAGTATCTATTCATACTCTAAGGGGTACAATCCTTGTTCGAGAATAATATATATTAATGAAAATGTGGCGTGAAGATGTCAAATTCTATTTGAAGTGTTTTTGCATATCATTTAACAAATATTTTGTAGCTGTGCTCACTTTTTGAACAACTGCTCTTGGAAAGAATCTCCTATCAAGTTGTAAATTACTATTTTAAGTAGAAACCGACTCGTATGTCACCTGTTCATCTCAAGATAGTTTAATTTATGCTGCCGGACATTTTCTTTATCACAATGTTTTATAATTAGGCAACAGATATTTGTATAAGGTTTATAAGAAACCCTAACTTTTATAACAGTTTATATAATTTTATAAGAAAAGCATAGGCGTTGCGAGTTTTTTCACTTGTTAATAAATACCTAAATTCTTTACTCCCTATAAAATTTTAGTTTTGATTATATTACATTTTTTGACAAGGTTTTAGATTGTTCCTAAAATTTTATTATAACACTCTTATGCTTGGGGTTTTATAGCTTACTTGGTAAAACCCTTATAAATCTTGAAGCACCCAAAAAAACATGTCCCTTGGTGGGACCGTCAAAGATGGTGCAATATTACAGACTAATTCATCTAGATTTTATAAAAAAACTAAGCTCACTGCTTTCGTGAACAAATAAGTAAAAAACAGCTGACATAATCGTCATTTGACATTAGGGTACTAATAGTTTTCAATTTATTTTCCAGTTACTTTTAGTTTTATATCAGTCATTCAATTACCTTTTTCGAAAGTGACTTCACCATTAAACAATTAAGCTAAAAGTTGAATTTTTACTACAATAAGCATAAGAAATATCCCTTTTCAATTACTGTCTAGAGGAGGTGCTTCTTAAACATGTTTTCACTTAGATGTTTCATGTGCGATATCTAGCATCTCAAAGTGATTTCAATGGAGGTTAAACCTATGAGTTTATAAAAACTAACGCTTTACCGATTTACAAAAAAAAAATAGCTTACATAGAAAAAATATATGAAGAAATTGGATCGTATCTACAGAATTATACTGACGTCGACATATTTGCTGGAATTCTGCACTGCTTTTCTGGACCTCAACTAAAACTTTTTTGCCTGAAAATTTAATAGGATTTCGACAAATCCAAACCTCGACGATCTGTCAGCGGCCATGTTGTTTGCCGAAAGGTCTTATATGCTATGCTGACAGTACAGCAACTCATGAAGTAACTATGTAACTTTTTTTGAGAAGGTCCATTCAACGTGCGCATGCGCGAGATTTAAATTTTGCTTTTAGCTAATGACAGCTCTAATGGCGAATGCTGACGTTGGACCCATAAGACCTTGCGGCTTTCAACAAACAACATGGCCGCTGACAGATCGTCAATTAAATTTTTAGGCAAAAATGGAGTTAAGGTATGAAAAAGCAGTGCAGAATTGCAGCACCCGCGTCAGGATAATTGTGCAATTAATTTGGCGTTTTTGTTCTTTAAGCCCTGTAGATACGATGCCATTTCTACGTGTGTTTTTTCGCGTAAACTATTTTTTCCTTTTTTTTGCTTGTAAATCGACACAAAGCGTTAGTTTTCATACATTCGTAGGTTTAATCTCTATTAAAATAAGTTTGAGATGCTAGATATCGAACAAGAAACATCTAAGTGGAAAAAATGTTCAAGAAGCATTTCCTATAGACAGTAGGCAATGGGTATTTCTTATGCTTCTAGTAAAAATTCAACTTGTAGCTAAATTATTTTCTTATATGTCCTGAATTTCTTGTACTCCACATATTACATATTACGAAAACATTCTTCGTAGCTATTTAAGCGTGCCTAAAATTGTAGTAAAATTTCCGATGAGGCACAACAAACAAATTAAAAGCAGCATACAGTTTCCAAATGGAAAATTTTACAATAAATTCATGTATCTGTGTAGCAATCGTCGAAATTTTCTACATATAATTTTAAGAAAGCTTGTAGGTACTGGAAATTTTCTCAGTCAAGGTATCGATACTGCGAATAAAATTGATAGTCAATGTATGGCTCAACCCTACAGGTAACCAAAGTATCCTATAGGGTGGTATCATCGATCGCTGGGAGGAGCAACAGCAGAATGCAAAGAAATATTAAATTATGAGCTGCTAATAAATGGCATGAAGACAGTGACGGTATCTAGGACGGAAATTAAACTCCTCCGATCATGCGAAAATGCGAAACTTAACGCGCTTTACTGGTTGCCTACTAGACGTAGCGGTAACCAACGAACAAGATCGCATACCTGCTGATTGACGTATAAATAAATAACCTCTCGGTCAGATCAATATTATTCAATATTATTTACTTCGCAAAGATTGACTTTAAAACAAACAGCCGTATGTAAGTAAGCAATTTTGATTATAACTACAAGTGAAGCTTCAAGAATAATTGCTGATTCTACCGTATTTCATTACTGCTCAAACAACAGCAAAACAATAATAACGGAGTCTTTTTGATATCCTGATGGTATACCATTACATATTTATACATCCGAACACAGAGGAAAAGGATAACATTTGCAATGTAAAATAATTAGCAAAAAGCAGTATCTGTAAGTAACGACTGTTTTATCTTCCCAGAGAGAAAGAAGAAAGCAATCATAAACAAAAAGTAAAAAAAGAAGGAAAGTAAAAAACACAATAGAAGGGGAATTACCACGAGAAGTGTGATTTAATTAATAAAACCCAAATACACAGGTAATTCTTTACTTTACTGGAAATATGACCTAAGGTCGAAATTGGAACGTAACACGTTGCCAATTATATTCGAATTTCAGAGACTGATTTTGCGTTCTTATGAAAATTAGTCAATTTTTTCAGAAAAATTACAGGAATGTGGCAACTCAATTAGTTGGGGATGACGCATGCGCAAAAGTTCCACACCTTCTCTACGAAAATATCATAGCCACCTGCGGCGCATCAATTTTTACCGTAGTATATAGTTAAAAACGAAATTTTAAATCGCGCGCTCAAAAAAAAAATGCATAGTTACTTCAACATCCTGTGTATTATTTGTATTGCCGTTATCTCAATCTGCGCTTCATCATTGCGTCTACTCGAGCGAACCAAAATGGGATTCTCCCAAGTGTTAGTGCCCGCCCGCGCCTTTGAATAACAGCGACATTATGCGGGATTCGAGTCGTAAGTTTTGTCAAGGCATTCTTGACATCATTGTTCGGCGTTCCGTCCGCGTCTGCTCCATCAAGAACGCTTCGCATAATTGTCTATTGTTTTGCGCGAAGAACTGCTTCTAATGTTCGCCGGCAAATTTAATTTCGTTTAAAGTCAACTCTCCGTATAAGTGGGTTTGCGTTCGCGTCTTAGAAATGCATCAAATTTTCGGGCGCGGGGCGGCGGCGGGGGTGGGGGCGTTTCCCGCGACCGTATATCCCGCGGTAATTGCGTTTTCGGTGTGCGAAGTTTTAAGAGTGCCGGAGCAAACATGTTGACGAGTTATTTCCTTATATTCGCGCCGCCTTTTACGCCGTCGAAAGTGCGAAGGGAAACTTGTCGCAACTTTCCGCGCGAAATGCGAGAAAATAACGGTAATTTCTCGCGACGAATCAGGCGTTGATTGGTGCCAAATGAAAATGCGGTTTGAGAAATCGCCGAAACTGTTTAGCTCGCGTTCAGGCTCTGGAGTAGAATCCTCAAATGGCCCTCTAATGTTGTCTTCTACTCCCTAGTGACAAATACCCACGGTCCTCATCATCTGACGAAGAAGAGACACTTTGTTACTTGCATTAGAAGCTGAAGAAAATGAGAAGTAGGTATATTTTGTTCTACACAGTATTTATTTATTAGTAATCGATTGGTGTTGATTTTGGATTTTAGGAAAAAAGACAGTAGGTTCATGGTATTAACTTGGAACGAAACATGTATGGAGAATTTCATTCGTTGATTGAAAAACGCTTTTATATATAGTTCAGAACGACTAGTGAGTGTTTTGATGACATTTTGAGCCTTATCACAAATGACATTCGATATTTTAACGCAAATTATCTTGAAGCTTTTTCACGTGAAGAACGACTTCCCATTACATTGCATTATTATTAATACCTGTTATTATCACTGAGTCGATTCAAAGAAGTAACAAACTTGGCGATTCCTTGAGACTGTTGAGACACATTTGTCAAAGAAGTATAAGTATTATCATTCTGTGAAAATCCAAATGAGGAAATGGGATCTCCAATTCCAGATAAAGTGCTGTAAAGAGAACTATTCCACTTTCAGTTCTAGGCATCACATTTGTGTTGAGTTCCTCATGATGCGAAAGTTCCCGCTGCATGATGACTTAAGCAATTTTCAACTTAGTTATCTCCTGTCTCCTTCCGGAAAATGTTTTATGGTCTTTGCGTGAGCCAAAAGAAGACAGTAAGTGGCATCATATTTTTCTTATTTTCAAAATATTTTACCGTCTCTCCCATAGAAGACACTGGTGTACAGTTATTACGCTTTCTGCT